GACCCCTTCTTTTTTGCCTCTTTGCGAGTCACAATTTAAAAATGGAATCAGGGAAGGTTTAAATTCCTTTCTTTCTCTTTCTTTAGGGCACCGTTTTGATTCCCAATTTGACATCAGTGCTGTTTGACAAGAATGAGTGGGAAACCCCTGATACTTTTAATCCTAAGCATTTCCTGGAGGATGGTCAGTTCAAGAAGAGAGAAAGTTTCCTGCCCTTCTCTGCAGGTAAGATGTGTCTGACTCTGTCCATTCGCACTATAGCACCAAGTCTTGGCCTCTCTCCTTTTTCTGTTTAGAAAAACCCCACCGCATTTATTAGTGACAGAGGCACAATGAAAAATGGAAAGCTCAGAAATGAAATTCATGGCCAGAATTTGTGTCCCTGGGCTGGAGTTCCAGCTTGTGCAGTTTTTTCATAGGTAGAGGGCATGTCATTCTTGAGCAAGTGCTCTCTCCTAGAACAAGGCTCGACACAACAACAGGAAAGAGTGGCCTCAGTTCTGCTACCCTTATGGGTATGTGTACACTGGAGATGAAGGTGTAATTTCTTGGTGGGGGTGATAAGCCCATTCTAGCTCGGAGCGAGCTAGTGCGCTAAAAATAGAGGTGTAGCCATGGTGGGGCGTGCAGCTGGATGGACTAGCCATCCCGTGTACACCCCCTTCCGAGACCTTCAGAATATACTTGGGTGGCTAGCCGCTCATGCCACCACGGATACATTTCTAGTGTTAGTGCGCAGCTCCAGTGTAGACATGCCCTAAGGTGGGCACAAAGAGAAAGTAGCCTGCCTCACTTGTTGGGAATGTAGGAGTGAGGACAGAAGGAATAGCGCGCCTCACCTTTTACTGCTTCTTTTCACTTGTAGGGAGAGTCAGCAAGGGGAATAAATATGGTAAAGATGATAAAAGTGTGGGAGATCCCTGAAGCAACCTCATAAAAACCAATCAACCTCTAGAACATTTTACCATAGAATGTGGTGGATTCTCCATCACTTGGACTCAATAAGGGCTGATCCCACACAATTTAAATCAATAAGAGCTTTAGCATTAAGTTCCAGAAACAAAAATGCGTGTGAATCAAGGATTCACAGATTTGCACAAACCTTGTTTATATACAGGTCTATCAGGGCTTTCTTGCAAAGGAAAAGAACAAGCAATATTGGTACCCGCTGTGTGTGGCTAAGGAAAGTATGTAATACCTTTTTCTTTTAAAGTGGTTTATCTAGAAACTAAGGGTATGTCTATACTACCCACTAGATTGGCGGGCAGCGATCGATCCAGCGGAAGTCCATTTATCGCGTCTAGTCTAGACACAATAAATCGACCCGCGAGTGCTCTCCCATCGACTCCTGTACTCCACCTGCGTGAGAGGTGCAGGCGGAGTTGACGGGGGAGCGGCAGCAATTGACTCACCGCACTGAAGACACTACAGTGAGTAGATCTAAGTACGTCGACTTCAGCTATGTTAGTGACGTAGCTGAAGTTGTGTAACTTAGATTGATTCCCTTCTCCCCTCCCCCCGCCGCCCCAGTGTAGACCAGGCCTAAGATTCAGGGACACACAGCTCCCTTCTTTAGTAATAATGCTGACTAGACCTGCGTGTGTTCAGCAGGCCATGTGTTATGTCATTGAGAAGCTAGGCCAGGGAAAGATTACACCCAGGGGCGGCTCTATGTTTTTCGCCGCACCAAGCATGGCAGTCAGGCGGCTTTCGGCGGCGCACCTGCGGGCAGTCAGCTGGTCACGCCGATTCGGTGGCATGCCTGCGGGAGGTCCGCCGGTGCCGCGCCTTCAGCGCCCCACTGCCAAATTGCCGCCGAATCCGCGGGACCAGAGGACCTCTCGCAGGCATGCCACCGAAGGCAGCCTGACCGCCGCCCTCACAGCGACCGGCAGGCCGTCCCCCCACGGATTGCCGCCCCAGGCACGCGCTTGCTGCGCTGGTGCCTGGAGCTGCCCCTGATTACACCTCACCTATGTAATTTTATTTTAACTTTTTAATCAAGAAATAATACAGCTACGTGTAGCTGAGAATGTTAGGGAAGTAAGACATCAGCTAGACACAGAAATTGTAGTGCTTTAACTATATTAGTATACATGCCTCCTAGATTTCTGTCAGTTAGGTGTGTGATATTTTTTAACCAATATAAATTAAAACACCACAGCCTTTCTAGCGTGGATGCAGTTATGGGAAGGGGAATAAGCTATACTGAGATTGGGCACTAGTATAAAGACATTGTTATACTGGTATAAAAATGTGTGTAGATCAGGCTTTCAATAGCTATGCAGAGATGTGGCTGATCATCCGAGAGCTCTCAAACATGATTGTTTCTATTAGTAGAAGGAATTACCGAAGTACTGTTATAATTAATGTAAACCTTAGCATCCACTTCCATAAGGGAAGGAAAATTTAGTACTAAAAACAGGAAAAAGTGACTCAGAAGGGAGGAACTGATGACAAATCCATCTCCTCTTCCTCACTGTTCTGAAATTCCTGCTGTGGAAAATTAATGTCTCTTTTGTCATGAGACCCAAACTGTTCTAACAAGACTCCTCTGGCTGATGTGCACAACTGTCTTCTTTTCAGGAAAGCGCGGTTGCCTTGGCGAGCAGTTGGCTAGAATAGAGCTGTTCCTGTTCTTCACTGCCCTCCTTCAGAAATTCACATTCCAAGCTCCGAAGGACGTGAAGCTAAGCCTTAAATTCAGAATGGGAATTACTCTCTGCCCACAGCCATACAAGATCTGTGCGCTGTCTCGCTAGGAAAAGCCAGGAAATTTTTGTCATTGCCCCATTTCTTAAATAATTACGCTTTGCTGTGCTTGTATATAGGGCTGCATCTGCAGTTCACTATGTCTCCAAATTTCCCTGCCTGCCTCCGTTCTCATAACCCAACAGGGGACCAATATCAGCAATTGGATGATTTGGGAACCTGATATTGGAAGGGGCTGTGGCTGTTATGATACATCCTACCATGAGGGCAGCTCTTCCTGGTGTCCCTGCCACACCAGTCTGTGTGCATGCACACTCAGGATGGCCGAGGAATTCCATTTCCCATATCACTCTGGTTGAAAAAAGGTAAGTATATTTCATGAATTCTTTCAAAAGGAACATTTTGTTTCATTTGCAGTTTTTCATGAAATATTTACTTTTTCAATGGAAACTTTTCAAAACAATTAAAAAAAAATATGACTGGTGTGAAAAAACCACGACCTTTTCTCTCACTTTTTAATGAGGGGTAGGGAGAATTTAAAGACAGGAGAGAAAGTGGGATTTTCCCTATCAACCCAAAATTTAAAAAATGAAATTTCTTTGAAAAATGAAAAATTTCAACTGAGATTGAAATATTTCTGCAGGATTTTTTTTTTTAATCAAAAAGACTTTTTTACTGAAAAAACGTCAACCAGTTTTGGACGCATCCTGCTGCCTCTGAATCTTGCCAACCGCCATTGTTCTCTCACCCACTGTGATCTTTGATGAGAAATCTATCCACCTCTCCTGCCTGAAGTTTTTGTGGTGAGAGACCTCCTGAATCTTTTAAAAAGTTAATACTAATACATTTTTAAAACCTGCCCACATTGGGATTTGAATTCCTAACCTATATAACAGTACTAGTGCTCCACCCTGCTGCCATAAGTATTGCTGAGAAACCTCATGGCCTTTAGATGGTGGGCCAGGAAGGGAATTAGGGCAGAGTATTAACATATCGACTATTCCAGTTGGAACGGCCGGGTTGCTGATGGGGTTGGTTTAGTGCACATGTAGTTGAACGAAGGCGAGCTGGACGTTTCATAGGCAAATTTACTGTGGTTCTTAATTTTACTTTTGGTGTTTATTTTATGGTGTTCAGGTGCTTTAGAAATACTTCAGAGGGCAGATATTTTTTTGGCTGGCTAAGTGTAGCTAAAGAGCTGGATAGTATTTTCAAGTTAAAGTTAATAAAGAGCACTTGTTTATATTGTTATTTTCATAGCTAACTTTTTTACTGAGAGTTGTACTAACAAGATAAAAGAGCACCAAGCCCAGGTTCTGAGCACCCAGGACAAAATGCAATGCACACCTAACAGACCCTTGTAACTGATTCTCTGAGAGCCTTACGCTAACAGCAACATGAGTATAACCCCACCATCCCGAAAAATCCTACTAGAGTCCCAGTGCTGCCACTGTACACAACACGCCCTGAACACAAAAAGCACTGGCTCCTTCTTTTTCCCCGCTATCGCTTCTGTGTGGGAATGCTTGCGTGTGCCTGTGCCTATTTTCTCTCATAAGGTTGTTCGACTTTCTGAAATAGCATCAGACTTCTGTGAATGGTGGTTCATGAAGCCAGCCATTTTCACCAATTCCCCCCAACCCCCGCTCAACCATCTAAAAAACCCAAGGTCAGTGGAATGCCATTAGAGTTCAGGACATTTTTCTTCCCCAGTCAAGTTGCATCGTGCTTTTCCCATTTATTCTGCTCCAAAACCTCATCAGCCTAATCCTGAACCAGATGGGACGCTGGTGAGGAACAATAGTTTTCCCTAGTGCTGACTATGGCTAATTATTACTAAAATGTTTTAGAGAAACACCGTGTTCACATACACATGCATGTATGTGTATTTTTAGGTTATTTTGATCATGTGTCTTACCTTATCCTAACACATCACCGCAGTGCAGACTACAGGGGTGTGAATTGTAGAGCAATATGACATGAAAACACAAATGGCAGATTAAATCTTTTAATCACAAAGGCACTACAAATACCAGCCAGGTCGATTAAAAACCATCCAGATGGCAACCTTACCTATGATACATGCACACAATTTGTTTGAGGCCCAATGTAGCCCATAATGCAAAATCTGGTCTATTGCATTTCCTATTTCAAACACTGAACCAGCACATTACTATAACTTTTTCTTCTTGACATCACTCATAGGCAAAGTAAGACAGAGAATCAATTACAAGAAGAAGAAAAAGTTTTGAAATGTAACGGTCTGATCCTGTAAAGGCTTAAACGTGTGAGTTTACTCATGTGAATAGTCCCATTGCTGATCAGGCCCACAGTGTGTCTTTACACCAGGGAAATAAAATAGTCCTTAGCATTCTCATTAAATTTCATAGCAAAGAAGAATTGATTTAACATTTTCTTTTTTTAAAAAAAGCTGTTGATAACAGGAAAAAATCATTTTGAAAAAAATCCAAATTAAATTTAGACGATGCAACCCCCCTTCCTCGTAGGGGAGGATTCATTATTTAATAAAGCAACTGCTATAAAAAAACCACTTCCTGGCTATTAAAAGCAATATTTCTCTAAATCCTAGCCACTAGAACACTGCGGTAAGCCTTGGTCTCTTTTCCAGGCGAGACCAACTGCCCAAGCCTCCTTATCCAGGTGAGGCCAACTCCTCAACTTTCACACCAGTGGGGAGGATTTATAAGGGAGGTCATCGCACACACCCCTTCCGGCAAAGAGCACCAGCCCGTCTTTTAAAGGAACGAGCTAGGATACCCTATTGCCTCCGGTATGGCGGGCAATTTCCAGGGACTTCCCCTCTCTCCGAGCAAGGGGAGGGAGCCCACAACCCCAAAAGGAAGATCTGAGAGCTTCAAATGGAAGATCTGGGATAAGGTTTTGGTCATAGGTCAACCACACAGAAGGGTCAGGAAAGGCTCGGTCCCCGCACACCCCTCCTTGGGCAGAGAACATCGACCCGCCTTCAAGAGAACGGGATGGGTTACTCTACTGCCTAGGAGTACGTGGACGGTTTCCCGGGGCCTCCCTGCTCTCCGAGCAAGGAGGGGCTCCTCAGCACTTCAAGGAAAACAGGGGTGGGATCACCTTACGGCCCACAATCACACAGCACACCTAATTCGGGAGGGATCTCTATTACGACAGTTCTCACCAGTCCATCAGTCTATTACTGGTGGGAGCCCCGCCGGCAGTTCTCACCAGGCCACCAGTTAACCTATTACTGGTGGGAGCCCTGCCAATCCCCTCGGCCGCTCCGGGATTCCCTGGATTCTGCCCCACCCACTGTAGAGTCCAGGGATATCTTGGATTCCGCCCCACCCACGGTAGGGTCCACTTTCCCAGGGTCTCCTAGCAGCCGGTCAATCGTCCTCTGGGGGGACCAATCCCCGAAGGCCGAGCCACACGAAGCAGCTAACTAACACAAAACAAACAAAACCCAACACAGACAAGTTACAGAATGGACACACACAAAACGAATAGATGTCAGGCAAATGAGTCTAGCCTCAAAAGGTTTAGATCACAGCGCGCCCTTACCTGAACGCAGAGCCTATGGGCAGCTCCCCACCGAAGCCAAAACAGAGACAAGGGTCTCTTACCTGGCGCCTGGGATTGGTGTGGGAGCAGTCCACGGACCACTGGTCCGGTGGGACGTTGAGTGATCCCGGACGAGCCCCCAAATTGTTGTGGAAAAAATCACCCACACATTGATTTTAGTTCACAGACTCAAGCCTGAGGCCAGTTTATTGCAATACACACCAATGCGTTGGGGTAAGAGTCCGAAAAATGCTACACCTAGCAGCAGCTCGCAGGCTGCTTTATTCCATCAAACCGCAAGCATAGTACAAATACATCATTTATGCGAAAATAAGAGTAGGGGTCTGTCCCTTTTGCCAGGTAACTCCGTCATTATTTACGAGAATTGGGTGCCTATTGGGTGGTTTCCGCCATGGGTGGTACGTGGCACCAGTGGGAGTGTTTTTCTAGTCAGGGTACATATTGTTTTTCTGGGGTTTTACGGTTAAGGGCATAGGGGTTTATCCCAGAACGCCCAAAGAAGATATATGATTGGCTAGTTTGGCAGTTAGCTGGAATCACGGGGGGCGGGAGGGTCACAGATCACCCAAAGGAGAAGCTGCATTTAGTCAGTTTGCATTTAGCTAAAGTTACCTATTGCTTTACACAAGCGGTTATTATATTTTATCAGCCATGAACATATTTCATTAGTGCTGCTGCTGTGGCTTTTTATTCTTTCCCTCCTTGGCCCCCCTCCCCTCCTCTGGTCATGACCCTTGACCGAGTTTGGCAGGAGACTGTGTCACTTAGCCTAGTTCAGGCTTGTGGCCTGCAGGGCGGGCCTATATGACAAGTCTTCACCAATGTTCTGATTGATGCAAGGGAGGCCAGCCAGGCCTATTCCCCCACAACACCTATAGTAAAAAGATCTTTTGCATTCCTGACTATCAGATTTGTAGAAAATCTGGTTTTACTGGATATTTTTCATGACAGAGGATGCGGGAGGAGGGAATCTGTAATTTATTTTTTTAAAAGAACCAGGAGAAAATGAGAAATTATAACTAAGAAGGAAAAATCTGACAAATCTTTGCCGATGAGCTGAAGGAACCAGGAGAGGGGGCCCTAGCAGGGTTTCCGGGTTAGGACTCTGGCATGGAAAGCTCTTGTGTACCTGTTTGAGGGTGTGTTAATTTTGCTTGTAAACTTTGTCCTCTGCCAGCGTCAGCAGCAAGTGGATGTGCAGGGTTGTGCCTGCTGCTATCAGGTTTCCCACTACCCCAGTCACTCCTCCTTCTTACAGCTGTAGGGGTGCACCTGGCCGAGGAAGATGCTGCTCCAGGCTGTCCCTGGGTTAATGTGGCTCTGGCAGAACATGCCCTTTCAGACATTGGCCGTCTTCTTAGGCCTGTTCCTGTTGATTGCTGACTGCATGAAAAGGAGACGGCCGAAGAATTTCCCTCCAGGACCTTTGCCCCTGCCGTTCCTGGGCCACATACTTCATCTGGATTTCAAACAGCCCCATAGATCTATAGAGAAGGTAAGTGGGGAAGAGAAGCAAGTGCAAGAATAGGAGTTCTGTTTGCATGAGCTTTTTTCACCAGGGAGTGGTGGGTGAGAGAGACGCTGGGTGAGACCCTCAGCTGCGCCTGAAGAATGTATAGCACAGCTCATGATGGCACCACCTCTGCACTGCCATGAACTTGGGTTTGTCCTGGTGCTGCTCTGGCCCCTGGCATAAATTACAGCCATCTCTACACTGCTCTGAGTTGTACCAGCTACTAACAGTCCCAGTGGGCCATTCCAGAAGCCTGCTGCCCGGGATCACCAGAGCACAGGAAAACCTCTGGTCAAACTCCTTTTCCCTCAGCCAGTGTCCAGGATGTGGGGGTCCCATCTGTGGATTCCTTTCCAATGGAAATCCTCAGGAGGTAGGATCCTCCAGGTTTATGTCTGATTTGACGTATCAGCGAATTGAGGCCTGATTACATGTGGATGGCAGTGTCTGATGCAGTGCACAATGTACCATGGTTTGAAGGTAGCGAGTGGGGAGTTGTGAGTGTGACAGGGGGCTTCCAATGTGTGCAGGGGCTTGGGCAGTGCAGGAGCAGGCCCAGAAGGACTTACCAGGTACGAACAGGCTCATAAAAAGTTACCAAGAATAGAAGGACTGAGACGTGGAAGGGGCTGTGTAGGGTTTCAGGTTGGTGCTCCTCAGGATTGGAAAGAGCTCACAAGGAAGTAGGTTGGGTGGGGGCTTGCAAGAGTTATGGTGATCAATTAAACCCTGAGCATGTGGGCAAGACTCATCAGCCAGCACCCAGGAAAGAATTCTCTGTAGTAACTCAGATCCTACCCCATCTAACATTCCATCACAAATCATTGGGCATATTTTCCTGCTAATAATCAAAGATCAATTAATTGTCAAAATTAGCCTATCCCATCATAGCATCCCCTCTATAAACTTATCAAGCTTAGTCTTGAAGCCAGATATGTCTTTTGCCCCCACTACTCCCCTTGGAAGGTTGTTCCAGAACTTCACTCCTCTAATGGTTAGAAATTAAATATGAACTAAACCACGTGCTCTTTTTTTTTCCAGCTTGTTGGAAAATATGGCAACATTTTCAGCATGCAGTTTGGTAGCCAGACAGCTGTGACTGTAAATGGATTCAAGCTGGTGAAGGAAGTGCTTGTCCATCAGGGTGAATACTTTCTTGATCGCCCACAAATTCCTCTTATGTACGAAATCTTTGGTACATTTGGTGAGTTTCTTTTCTTATCTTTTTCTTCAAGTATTTCAGGTGTAACATTTTTAATAATAAAGGCACCAATCCTGCCAACACTTACAAATGGGCTTCACTTTATGCACGTGAACAGTCTCATTGACATGTGCTCTGGGGTAGTAACTTCTAGTAAAATCAATGGGAGTTTAGCACCTAAATACCCTTGAGGGTCTGGGCCTTAGTAACTGCCTCAATTCTGCAAATACTTACACATGTGCTCATGTCTCATTGACTTCTCATGTTCACATCCCAACTGCTATATCCCAGGTGACAGCAGCAGCAGATTCACATGGCTACCATGTAGCTA